CCAAACCCTAAACTTAAACCCCCCAACCTACCCGAAACCCCATAACCCAGAACCTTCGACCCCAAACCCCTAAACATATATATATGTATGTATGTATGTATGTATGTATGTATGTATGTTTGTATGTTTGTGTGTTTGTATGTTTGTATGTGTAAGTATGTATGCATGCCATGCAGTGTCTGCGGACGTTGCCAAGTGGGAGCCAAAATGTATGCATGCATATGCATGTGTGTCTGTGTGCGTATGTTCATTATATAGATAGATAGATAGATAGATAGACAGATAGATAGATAGATTCTAGAGAATGTACACTCACAAACACACCCGAAAGCTGGCATGATCCTGAGGTCCACCCGCAGTTCATGAATTTCGTGCCTGTCGGGAGCCGCCAGCGGTTGACGGCAGAGGAGCTGTTGGAGAAAAAACTTTTTCTTTGGCATCTTGGGCTAAAAGTCTAGGGGCTTCGGGGTTTAGGGATTTCAGGTGTTGGGCAGAGTTGTGATAATGATAAGGAAACACCGGCGACGCCACTGATCGTGGCAATCTTGACAGCCGGCAGCCAAAACGAAAAGTAGGTTCTAAATGCTAAGAAGCTGTGGCTTCAGACGCTCCTAGATGGAATGCTGTAGGGCATTCAAGATGCCGCGCTGTTCTTTTAATCTGCTTTTTGGCTACAGATGTGCGACAACCCCACCCTGAGCCCAACTGAAACGAGAGACGAAAGTCGTGCCTTCTGTCTGTAGCATGTAATGAATATGGCAGTTTTGAAGTGATTAAGACCCTAACGTAGGATTCTTGAACACAGGTCCGTCAAATATGGTGCCCTATTGCCGTTTTTGGGGGTGTTGAGCCAGCGACGTATCTCCCAAAAGGAACCACGACGCAGCACGGACCCTGGGCCCTAAACCCTAAACCCAACTCTCCAAAGAACAATGTGCCCTTTTGAGGCGTACAATGTAACCGGAGTTGTCACTTGGCTCTACTTCTGCCCAGACTGACTAACCACACATGAACTTTGGAGCCGTAAATCTACACCCTAGAACATCAAAAACCAACGTTGAAGTCTAGACCCTAGCCACCCAAGCGTGTATAGAGACACTGCAGGACAGAACCCTTATCTTATACCCCTTGCAGAGCCCCGTGAATAACCAGATCTCAAACCGAGCTGTCTAAGGTACGATTTCTTCGCATGCCCGCAGCTGGAGGCGCGATCTGACTCTCAAGACACTCACCGCCAGTAATATGTGTTTTTTCTTTTTTGCTTGTTTTGGGCTCCGTTTTCAGGGGTCTACTCCGGAGCAGTCCAAAGCCCAACGTTTTTTCTTGTACATGTTTGTTGGGGAAGTAATGGGTTACGTAGTCCTTTGAGTTGAGGGTTCTGGGTCCTTATGACTTGGTCAGGTTTTGAAAGTTGTAGCTTTTAGCCTCATCGTTCTTTGCGAAATAAGGACATCAAACCAGATCTGCAGAACGCAGTGGACAGCATCCCCTCCTACGTCCAGATGTCACGGTTTTTCTTTGCCCCTTGGAGCATGAGAAGCTGCCAGTATACTGATTTAGTTGTCGGGCTGCTAAAAAGGTCTACAGGGTTTTATATAGGGCCGAATCAATACCTTATTATGGTCCTTATATATTTGATATTAGAGCATACCCTAACACTCGGGCCTATTTAATTCTTCCACGTCCCCAATCCCCAAACCTACAGGCCGGCGTGCCTGACGGTAAAGTGCCACGACACCTTAAAACAAAAAAACTAAACCCTATAGGCCCTTGTATTGTGGAGGGAAAAAGCCCTTGTGTTGATCCGGAACCCAAAGCTTTCGAATATCTAAACCCTAAACCCTAAACCCTCGAAGCATGACCTTCACTCTGTAAATGGTCTCTGCCCCGGGAAGAGTTGGAAGCCCCTGGCCGGGAGACAAAAGGTCTGAACCTCAGCATCACGGTTTGGGATTGAGAGTTAAGTTGAGGGTTTAGGATTAAACTTAGGAGTTGGGGTTTAGGACTAAACTTAGGAGTTGGGGTTTAGGATTCAACTTGGGATTTAGGGTTTAGGATTAAGTTTGGGACTTAGGGTCTAGATCTCCGCCCGGCAGAGTCTGGGTTCAACAGGGGCGGAGATCTGAGTAGCGGAGAACAAAGGGTTTGGGATGATTTGTAGTGTTATTCACTCTAGGAGTCCAAAATGCAATGATACCACACTGAACCCTAAACCCTAAACCCTAAACTTCTGAGTAGCTGAGGCCCCTAAAGCAGTGGAGTAAGCGACCTTTCTCTGTCTGGGGCTGTGCGAATAGCTGGAGATCTTCCCGGGTTCCCGGAAGCCAACCTTCCATTGCAATGGGAAGCTGGAGCAAGGAAAAGCCCTAGGGAGGGGTCCAGGGGTTTAAGCTTTGGGGTCTACCTGGAACCCACAAGTATGTAAAAAATAATAGCCTTTTAGGGGTCTTGGGCCATTCTTTTACCTACTTTTGGGGTTTTTAGGTAGGGTTTAGGGTTTACCTATAGCCTCCATTGTAGTTTCTTTTTGGGGTTACCTTTTAGGATCCTTAATGTAAGGTTGGTTAAACCAAAACAAGGAACTACAATGGAGACTGTAGGTAGGGCTTGGGGTTATGCTGTTTTCGGGGAGCGAGTGCAGCAGCTCCCAGAACCATGCGGGCATGCACATGTCTGTGTTGAAAGGGTTTAGGGTTTAGGTCGCTTTTGAGAAACCAGCTGGTAGATAGAATCGTAGTTCAACCCGGAAGTTAACGAGTAGTCCCTTGAAGAGGGAGCCGTTTCGGATAAATGCTCGCCCTGTAGCAGCCCGAGCTAAACTCCATCGTGGTAGAGTTGGGATGTAAGGTGATGCAATCACAGGATGCCATGCCATGCACCAATACGGGGTTGCACCGAAGGCCGCGAGTGAGACGGGACAGACGGACGGCGCCCAACCCAGAAACTGAACTTCTAGAACCCGAAGCCTTTGAATGGACCCGGTCTCTACCCCCCTACTGTTTCCTCAGACTCCTGTCTAGGGTTTAGGGTTTAGGGTAGTTGGGGTTCTTGGTAAACCTGCCCCCCATCCCAGGTGCTGGCACCCGTCATGGAGCATGCGGAGAACGGCAAAATGCTGAGCAAGCACAGCTGGACAGATGCGGATTTACGGCTTCGGAAGTTTCCAGGGCCTTGAGATGAACGTACTAAAGGGACCGAAATCATTAGCAGTACCATTGTGGGCTTCCTTATTCTAAGTCTGGTAGAAGAGACGCCAATAATTACCCTACTTTAATTTTTTTAAGGCCCATGTAGTAGTTTATAGGGTCTTAGGACCTGTTAGATCTCCCAGCTACGTGCTGAAGAGGTATGTATAGTTTAGTTTAGCGGCGCATAGTGAGCCTAGTGAACCACATAGAAAATCCCGATGCCTTCCGCTCGATAGAACGCCAAAGTCTGCAAAAACCCGCGTGTTCAGAAGCCCTGAAACCTCAAACCGTGATCTCCAGCACCCTACTTGGAGGTTCATGGGTAGTCATTCCTGGAGTTCGAAATCCCTAATACAAATATGGGTTATAATTAGAGTAACCTTACTTTTAACCCACTTGTAACTTGTAACTACCCATGAAACTCCAAGTACCCCCGCCCCCCGCGGCGAACCCCCGACAACGACGGATGCTCGAATTCATTATGGCCCTTATGAAGAGGAGTTCGTGAATCCGGGGCCTACATAAATGGAAACGAAAGCCCAAAAATGTCATCAAGGCGGAGGACCATGACTTGAACCTAAGCGCCGATCCTAGAGACAACAAGCCCGGCACCCTAAGGAAAAGACCTCAGTCTGTAGAAGGAACTTCAGTACTAGGAGTTGAGGTATATTCCTTAGTTACACGGTTTCTCTATTCCCTAAACCCTAAACCCTAAACCCTAGGAAGTTAATAGAGCCTCATACACCAATATCATGCCTTATAGGTTTCCCTATTCTACTTGTACCATCATATGCCCCTAGACCTTATTTCAATGATCAAAGCCCCTAATCTATTCTCATGCTTCGTAGTGTTCCCTATGATAATTCTACTAGAATATTCCCCAAAACCCTTTAATCTCAGAACACTAAACCCTAAACCCTGATCAAACCCGAACCTAAACCCTGAGCGCCGAAACCCTGTGTTTTATTCTCAGCCGAGTGTTTCGGGCTCAGTCGAAGGAGATCTCGCGGCTGGTGTCGCACAGAACGCGTTGCCCGCGAGCTGTGGTTTTGGCTTCACTTTGGTATATAAGATTTTCTATAAGTCTTATTGGATGTGGTGAGTTTTTCCAAGCTTCACTTTGGTATGTAAGATTGTCTATATAGGTCGTATTGGGTGTGGTGGGTTCTTTTCCAGAAGGTTTTATCTGGTTTTAGAAGGGCTGTGTAAGGTGTACTCATAACTCCTTGCAATCAGCATCCGTTTTTGAGACGGTTTATGTGAGAGCCTTCCTTCGACCCAGGGTTCAGGGTCGAGATGCCAATGCTGACACACAGAGAGTCCCAGGATTGAGCCTTGAGTCAAACTCTCGTGCTGGGAGGTTTGAAACTGACCATGGAGATCCCTAAAACCATATATATATATACACATGTATGTATGTATGTATTTATGTGTGTATGTATGTATGTATGTATGTATGTATGTATGTATGTATGTATGTATGTATGTATGTGTGTATGCGTAATCGCTAGAAGCGCTGTTTTCTCTTTTCGAGTCGGACGACTCGAAGCAGGAGGGGGACTCCTCCAAAATTAGGCTTAAATGGACGGCCTGCCTCAGCTCCGAACAGTCAGCACTTGTTGCTCACGGTTTAGGGTTTAGGGTTTGCTTAGAGTCTTGGTTGGATTTTCACTACCGACTCCTTTGAATCCTCAACATTCCTCAACTGGAGAGCCTTGCGTTGAGGCTTTGTTCGCGAGGCATGCGTGGCGTCAGGGCTAATTTTAGGGTTTTTAGCGCTTGGGTTTCAGGGTTGATGTGGAGATGCTATTCCTGCGGATATTGCTGGTCTTACTGTCATTACCTTTACATAATGATGGTCCGTTTGCGCTGGTTGCGGCGGTAAGCTGCGCTGAAGGTACGACAAGGGGAAGCGTAGTTATGAGCCGCCGCTGTCAGCATCGACTCATCACTCAGCACCTGAGGACTTGCTCCGATTCCCGAATGGTGCCTTACCTGCAATCCTCTTGTGCTCCGCTTCAGAATATTTGATTACGCCTTTGGGAAAAGGCTGTGGTGATATCGTCCACAAAGCTTTGCGGATTTTGGACCTGTTGTTGCCATGGATGGCCTTGAACAGACGACAGTGAAGAATCTAAGCTTGTGTCTCGGGAGCCAAGCGGCACAAGAATCCTGGAAGATTCGTTTGGGGTTTCGGGTTAGGATTTGCAGGTTCATCTGGGATTGAGGTTTAGCAAAGCAGGGTTGAGGTTCATATTGATGCATCCCGAAGAAAAAGCCTCCTTGCGTGTCTTCCATCTGCTTGGTGCTGGACTCGCTAAAGCCATTGTTTTGAATGTTTCGAAGGCAGGTGATGAACCTGCCAGGTAGGAAGTTGGCAAAAGCACAGGAGGAAGTCCTACACAGTTCGGTTTTACTATGCTGTTGCCCAACTTTCAACATGCTCCTTGTGCGCTTAGACTTTAGTAGGGCCCTATTCCGCGATATTTGAAGTCTCAGATCCTTTTTTGAAGTTCCGGCACAGGATTGCTATGAAACACACATAACAGCTAAGACTACACCCCTACTGCCCGAAATAGTGCAACCCAAAACCACCCCCAACCCCCGTGAACCTCAAGCCCGGATCCATGAGCCCTGGAGTAAAAAAGACTTGAGCCGTGCTGCATGCGGACTGCACGCTAGACCCCGCCTCCAAGAGAATTCTTGTTTGCATAATGTTTGCGTCCGGCGTGTTTGTGGGATTGCACCTGTTGTGTCCAGGACCGTCCGAACATGCAAGCTTTTTTGCAAATTGTGCGCCCGCGGTTGCAGACTTGTTGCATCGTCAAATGCGAAAAAGCTAGTAAAATTGTATGACACATATTATATTTTAATAGTACATTCATACTAGTCTGTCTGACAACAACATCATCAATGCTTGAAGGGGTCAAGTACTCATATGACATTACTAGTATATTCATACCGTAGTATCCCAGTTCTTGATTCTCCTGACCGGGGCTTGATTAAAGAAACTACAGGTGGTGAGTTTAGGGTATAAAGGGTTTCTATAATAAGGTATATAGACCTTCTATAAGGCTCCTAGAACGGTAGCTACCCACCTGAAAATGTCCTGGGCTTGAGTTCCAGGTCGTCGTGGAAAGCGCAGAGCATCAGTGCCTGGGCTCTGCGTGGAACCTCGAAGGGTCCGTCTTGAAATCATCGCGGTTTGAGGGCTATAGGGTTTAGGGCTTAGGGGTTTAGGGTTTAAGGCTTAGGGTTTGGGGTTTAGGGTTTAGGGCTTAGGGTTTAGGGTTTAGGGTTTTCGGTTTTTTTGTTTGACCGGGCTTCTGGACAAGGAGGCCTCCTTTCGCAAGAAAGTGCCGGTTGAAAGGCGTAAGTTCGAAACGGAAGGGTTTAGGGTTCAGGGGTTTAGGGTTTAGGGTTTAGGGTTAATATTCAGAAGCACACAAAACAAACCGTTCATACAACGGTGACCTTTTTTTGAACCCTCATAGCTTCCTTGTGGGAAGCCCTTTCAAGGATCCCACAAAGGAACCCTAAACCCTACGTCAACACCCAGGTACCCGCATCTCCTGGTGAACACCCCCAGACCGCTTAAAAAAAGCCCAAAAGCCTTATATGGTAGGGTCTTTGGGTCCAAAAGCCTTAAAAATATGAGTGCTTAGAGCCTCAGGGTAAACCTTCTAACCTACCAAAACCTCGTTTTTGTAGTAGGGCCCCATGAAATTCCACACTGGGGTTCATAATAAGAACCCATAGAAAAGGAGGTTTGGTAGGGTACCTTAACCCTAAATCCGGAACTCCAAAATCCTACAACACGCACACTTAGCCCGAAACCCTTAACCCTAAATTAAGGTATCTCATGGTTCCGTTCGACGCCTGGCTGCGGCCGGCTGGCGAGGGCCAGTGATCTGGTGGCAGTGAGGAAGCGAAGTAGAGGAGTAGGGTTTAAGGGTTTTTTTGCAAGGGTTTACGGGGTCTGGTGCCAGAGCGAAGAATTGGTGGAGTAGGCTGTAGGCTGTTTGTTATTGGGTCTGATGGGCGTTGATTGCGGTAGAAAAAATGGGTTTTCAAAGGTTGGGATAGGTCGAATAGGGCTGGATGGGGTTATGTAGGAACTGAAGGTTTGGGCGTAGGATTTAGAAGTCCGGCTTTCGCTTAAGATGTGCCGGGTGCAGGGCTTAGGGATGTGGGGCATGGAGTTTAAGATTTAATGGAGGCTTTGGGTTTGGGGATGGGATGTATACCCATAGGCTCCATAGTAGTTCCTTTTTTGTGGTTTACATTTAGGATCCCAAAAGGTAATCCCAAAAAGGAACTACTATGGAGCCTCTGGGATGCGGTTAAGGATTCAGGGTTGAGGAAACTTTGGAGGCCTTTAGTATTTGAATCATCGTTTGTTGGGGAGGTTTAGTTGGTTTTGAAAGTGAAAGTGTCTGATGGCGTGACTTTGAAGTGTGTTATTGCATGTTTCGCGAATATGCCGATTCAGCTTAGTCTGCAATCATTCATACATACACAGATATGCATACATAATATTATGGAATGCGTATATATATATATATCTCTCTCTCTCTCTCTCTGCCTCTCTTTCTCTCTCTGTATATATATATATGTGTATGTATGTATATATATATATAGATATTTTCCATTGACCCACACCTCATTCTACTCATCCAACTACTCTTTCCGCCAACCAACGCTGATTCCGATCCCTACGCCCCAAACCCCAACCCGGCCCCATCCTCAGCTGACGGTTTGAGGCGATAGCACAAGTCTGATGCAAAAAAGAAAATCTTCAGGGTTTCTAGTTCTTATTGTTTATAGGATAGGGTTTATATTTCTTATAGTTTATAGGGTTTAGGGTTTATATGGGACAGTGTTGGGATGGCCGAAGCCCCAAACTGCAAGGTTTACCGTGGCCAGCGACCGCGAGCGAGTCGTCGAGCTTCTGCAGCTTGTCTGCTTTGACGAACTGAGCTTCTGCACTGCTACAACCTACTCATAAGCTCCATAGTAGTTCCTGTTTGTTGTTTATATTTAGGATCCTATACGAACCCTATTCGCCCTATTCTATTCATTAGGTCCCCTATCGGTCGTACTCTGCTTATTCAGATTCAAGGCCCTTACATATCCTTATATAGATAGTAGCCCGTCAAGGAAGCCTTAGAGGAACCTGATTCTCCTTTGAAAGGTAAACCCAGACCCTAAACTCCATAAAAGTAGTTCCCTAAGGCGCAGCATGGTGCAGAGGAAGCTCGACTCGCTGCTGAGGCGCAAGGACGCGAGATGCCTGCAGGGGGATTGTACAGTTTTAGGAGGTCGGGGGTCGAGTTCAGGGTTTTTTAGAAAGTTAAGTCACTAAGGTTACAGTTTTCTCGGAGGGTTAAATTCAGGCTTGATCGATTCCCCGTCAAATAAAAGGGGGTGCCCCCCCCCCCTCCCCCCCCAAAAAAAAAACTCAGAAAATATTCTTCGGGGGTATGTGTATCTCTACTGCTACTTTTTGGGGGTCGTGCTCTTGCTCCTGCTCTGGCTCTTGCTCCCGCGCTGGCTTTTGCTCTTGCTTCTGCTGCGTCTCTTGCGCCTGCTCTTGCTCTTGCTATTCCTCCCGCTTTTCCCCCTGCTCTTGCTCTTACTCCCACCCTTGCTTTTGCTTTGCTCTTGCGGATGCCCGCTTCTGCTCCTGCTGTTGGTCTAACTCCTGCTCCTGCTCTTGCTGTGGCTGTTGCTCTTAAGCCTCGAAACCCTCCTCCCTAATTCTTGAAGGGCAGGGATGATTTCGGGAGGATTCGCCCCAATGTGCTTCTAAAATTGGGGGGGTTGTTTAATACAAGGGGGATGCGATTACACGGTTTAGGGGGTATAGTGCATATGAGGTTCATGGTTCAGGGCTCAGAGGGTTAACTATTTGAGGGTTCAGGGTGGCTCCTTTGAGCTTTCGTTACGCTTTGAGGCCCCGGCAAACCCGGATCAGTTAAATGCGATGAATACCGGGGAAGGCGGTGTCGGCACGAGTACTTCCGGATAGCTCAAGGTTGGTCAGGACCTGTGAGGGTGAGGATTGTCGGTTTCCGAGTGTATGAGTCCGTCGATTAACCCTAAACCCTAAACCGGGAGGACATCCACGGATATCGTCTCCTGCTCAACATGCAGCACGTCCATCTTCAAATGAGGCAGGGCCTGACCAATTTCCATGCGGCAATGAATCCTAAGCCCGAAACCCTGACCCCAAACCGGAGCAAGTCCATTAAGGAACCCCTCCCGGCAAGACGCCAGTGGGATGGCCCGAGTAGGGCGTTTTATGTGCTTCAGCCCCTATGAGGCTTCTGGCTTCGTTCCGAGTTCTGCTGTTTTTAAGGGTTTCTGTGCCTTTTTTTGGCAGGTTTGCTGAAACTCTGGTGTATTCTACGAAGCCTGTAGCGCAGAGTCTACATCCCGAAACTGCTGGAGTCTCCCGCCCCACCCAAGCTTCTGTGTGAATTGGTTGCCGATGTCCTGCTGTAGTCTGCTGCTCGCGGTATTGTGGTAGCTTAAGCTAAGTGGCCAGAATGCGGCTATCAAATGCTCATCCCGGTGCTCCAAAACCGAACGTCCTGCTGGAGTCTCGTGATCGTAAACGTGCGCCGAGAAACGTGGAACGGTTTAGGGTTTACATAGGGTATAAGGTTTAGCGTTTATGAGGCATAGGGGGTCCACGTTGAAGGAGCCGTGTTCTCATGGACCCCTGAATCAAGGATCCCTAACACTGCTTCCTAGAGCTTCGGCACTTTCGACTTCACGCAGTTGGAAAAAGGTGTGAAACACGGGCTTCCCATCAGGTCTCATCCTACATGGGGTTTGTTTTCGTTTTAGGGTTTAGGGAATCCCGACATGTTGTTATAAGGGATAGCTGCCCAAACGTGCATAAGCCCGACTTGATACTATGCACAAAGTCTCCCAAGCGCCTTTTAGAGCATGGTCCTTGAACCCAGACTTCACCGATGAGCTTCCGAGAGCCCAAAGAACCATGGCAGTCTCCAGCCTTAGCTTCTTAAACCTTTACGTCCTTTCCCCAGGGCTCCAAGTAGACAAGTAGTACCCACTTTGGGGCATTTGGAGGCCCGGGGTTTCACCTCAGAGCCCCTAAACCCTAAACCCTAAAGCCTAAACTCTAAACCCTATAGAGCCTAAACCCTAAACCTTAAACCTTAAACCGAAGCTCAGTTCCAGAGCCGCAGGATCGGCGAGTGTCGGAAGTGCAGCCCAAGCCCAAGCTCGGACAAGGATCCTTTGCCTTTAAGGTTTAGGGGTTTAGGGTTTAGGGTTTAGGGTTTAGGGGTTTGGGGCTGAGGGGTTTAGATAGAGTCTGGGTTCAAAAATGGGGGTTGATTTTAAGGTTTAGGGGTTTAGGGTTTAGGGGGTTTAGATAGAGTCTGGGTTCAAAAATGGGGGTTGATTTTTTGCGCTTCTTCTCCGCTCAGCTTAGCCGTTTTTGCATGGGCCCCCCCATTAGAGGGAGATAGAAGGTCATATGGGAGCGTAAGGGCCAACCACAAAGGCCATGACATAGACGGCAAGGGGTGGTCCATGTCAGGTATCGCGACAAGATCATGGAGCAGGGATTAGGCCTAGGCTTCTGGGGATGTAGGCTGTGTCAGGATTGAGGTAGGATTTACGGGTTTAGGGAGTTAGCGTAGAGGAGTTTCAGGGAGAAGGGTTGCAGTGTTGAGCGTAGAGGCAGGGTGATAGCACGGTTGTCTCGAGCTGCGGGGCAAGACTGGCGGTCCATTCGGTTGCCAGGCTTCTTTCTTTGCGGTGTTTGGCTTTTGCACGAGAGGCAACTCTTGTCTTTATAAACTACTAAACCCTTAAACCCTAAACCCCTAATTAATCCCCTGAAGTAGGGCTACGTGAGCCCTTAAGCCTAGAAGGCAAGGTTCCAGACTCCTCCCCCCTCCAGCCCGGTAGGCCCTAAACTTCGCCGAAGGGACCAGATCTCTCTTGAACCCTTAAACTCGGGTTTAGGGTTCAGGGTTTAGGAGGGTCTGAGGAGTTTAGGGTTTTAGGAGTTTAGGAGTTAAGGGGTTTAGGGTTTAAGAGTTTAGTAATGTAGGGTCCCCTAAACTCCCCGAAATCGCCGATCTGTGAGATGTTTCTTGTGTCTCTCGGCCCTCCTGCCATTGGGAGCGACCCGCTTCCAGAAGAAGACTCGGGTGATTTAGTGAGTGCGGTTCGCTCGTAATGAAGGCAGAGACGGGAGCCTGAGTGAACTCTCGTCAAAGCCACACACAAAATCAGAAAACACCAGTGCAGTCCTTGTTCAAGCGGCATCTTTGTTTTGAATGACTCGGGTTTTGTCTTTAGTGTCCTACAAATCGGAATGCAGCCGCATACCCAAAAAGTATCTGCAGTCGAGAGTTCCTTTCCCTGCTGCGAGGAGGCGGAGAAATTGGTGGCAAGCTTCCTGGAGGACGGGATCCATGGGACTTAGAAACCCAGATTGAGGAATAGACTCCGTAAAGTCATATGGGTGCTTCCGAAACTAAGGGGTACCTTATTTTGGGGCCCTCATAATAAGGATCCTACTACTATTTAGGGTACTATATTAGGGTTCCCTATTTTCGGAAACCCCCTATCTGATGGATGGCTTTTTGGGTTTGGTTCCCCCCCCAAGAACAACCAAGAAGCCCCCAGGGCCTTAAAAGCTTCCGGTGCCGACAACCCGCATTGTGATGAATCCAACAAACCCGAGCCGAGTGCACAGATTGAAAGAAATCTTGTGGTGAATGTGTGACTGGAGACCACAAGACTACAGGTGTATGCTATAGTAGACCCTGGTATGGCATAGTCTACCGTAGCCTACAATGGCATGCAATCGTACTACAGAATTCTCGAAACTTTGCGTGGTCTCGGGGCTTTAGAGTTGTCGGTGGTCATTTTTTAGGGTTTTTCTTGGGCATTGAGGTCTTGGCGTTCGGGCCCTAAGCCCCTTAAACCCTGAACCCCCAAACGACGTCCGAGCTGGGAGAGTCCAAATCTCAAACCCCCCCAGAGCCGAAACCCTTAAGCCCCTTAAACCCCCAAACCCCTAAACCCTTAAGCCAGTGGAGACCGAACCATAAGAGCCTTGCCTGCTGCGTGCGAGTGTGAGTGTCGAAACCCCTAAGCCAAAAAAAGCCCCAAACCACCCCCCAAAAAACAAATCCAAACCCTTCGGACCCCAGGCCCAGGGAGGGAAACTCGGAGTCTCTGAGGAGAACCGATTCAAAGACGTCTCCGACCGCGAACACGGATGGACTCCGGCTTGCCCTCTGGCTTCCTTGGAGCCTGTGGACTCTTGAAGCCCGGAGAGTCCAAACCCTAAACCCTTAAACCCTTAAAAAATAACCCTAAACCCTTAAAAAAAAAACACTAAGCCCTAAGCCCTGAGCCCTAAACCTTGAGGCTCCCCAAACCTTAGACTCAGAGCCCCCGGCCGCAAGTTTTGTTTTTGGCGATGTTCGTCTTTTGGCTGGGTATCCAACGGATTCGTGCCTGTCTCCGGAAGTGTTTGCACTGCTGTTGGGGAATTGCGTTTTACGTAAAAACAGCCTTTATCTGGGCTTTGCGGCCGTAAGGTGTGTATAGCACTTGGATTCATCACGCAATGCCGAGGGTGCTTCGTTTGAGGCATCGCGTGGATTCGGAGTTACAGTTGGAGCACTATTTTGTACGGATACTACGACTTTTCGCCACGTCCGGGCCACTTTCAATCCGGAAGTCAGGTCCACCGACTCTTGTCTCTGAACCCGGATGTGGGATCAAGAGTCATGGGGTCTAAGCTTATGCCCAGAGGCTACATAGATAGTAGGTCCTTTTTGGGGATTGCCTTTTGGGATCCTAGATGTAAACCCCGAAAAGGAACTACTATGGAGCCTATGGGTAAGCACTCCGGAGGCGGGTTTGAAGCTGAGGTATCCGCCGTCAATGTTGGGGCTCCTGTTTGCCTTTGGCGGCTTTGGCTTTCTGTGTTTTTTTTGCTTTAGCCGGAGCCCAGGAAGTGTGTTTTTTCTCTTTCCTTCAAAGTGACCCAGTATAGGTCGGACCCTAAACCCCAACCAACCTCCGCTTGGAGACCCCTGAGCCCTGAGCCCAGGGTTTCTAGGGTCGTTGCATTTGGTGGTGCTTGCTTTGGATAGCTTTGACCTGGGCGTTGGCAATGTATGCAATGTTCACATCCTTAGTTGAGCGGCTTACAAAGGGCTCAACGGTTGGGGTTTTGGGGTTTAGGAAAGTTGGCACGTGCACTGCAGCCCCTCCTCAAAAAGGGAGGTTGGCGTCTCCTCTCTCAGGCGACTTTACGTCCCGCTACGAAGAAGAACACAGACCCTCCAGTCTGTGTTGAGGGTTTACGGCATAGGTGTAAAACCCATCTCACATTATACAACCCCAGAAGAATTCTTGAAAGCAAGATAATTCCAGCCTTGCAGCAACGAGCCCTGCATTAGAATCATGAGAGAAAGCGAATTAACCCTAAACCCCTAAACACCTAAACCCCCAACCCTGAAACCCTAAACCCTATAGGCCCTAACCTAACCCGAAACCCTAAACCCTCAGCACCTAATTAGAGCAGCCCACCAGGTTTCGCTGCTTTGCGCGGGGATTTGCCGCTGCTCAAGGCTTCTTGGGTTTAGGTTCAGGGGGTTTGGTGTTGATGGATGTGTACGCACCTAAACCCTAAACTCTAAACCCTACTAATCCCGACCTGAAGCGGAAAGGAAAAGAGGTGATAAAAAAAAAACATACTAAACCTTAAACCCTATTGCGTCGTCGTACTTGGAACCTCGCCAGGCTTGTCCCAGTTGCGAGTGCTAAAACCCTAAACCCTAAACTCTAGACTCTTACTAGCTTGACGGGTGCAGCTTGAACTTCTGGTCCTGAGCCCTAAACCTCACATTCCCAAACACTTGATCCTAGTTCCTAAACATCTACATATCAGCCCTGAATTCCTAAATCCTCGCAACCCGCCCTTCCTCGTGTTTTCCCGCGTCTTCTTGGCTTTTGTGGCTTTATGCCTTGCATTCTCGAGGCCCTCTGGCGTTTTGATTTCAAGCTATTCTTGCAGCACAACTTGTGTGTCGGAAATAGTTCAGAGCCGCCGCAGGTTTTTTTGCCGTCCCGGTCTATGCTTGGAAATCATGATGTGCTGACTCGAGTCTTGCCGGTATGCTCATTCTTAAACCCTAAAATGAGGCCACGAGGTGCTCGATAGGGCCCTCGCAGAGCCCCTGTGCCAGGCGATACTCCAGCAGGGCGCGAATGTGAACGAGTGCATGAAGTCGAAGGACGACGGGGCTGAAAGAGACCGCGCAGTTGGCGATGAAGACGCTGAGATGCTGTGTAGTTTGCTCATGCACTCATACACAGCTAGTAGCAGCTAGAACATGATTCGATTTGTGGGTTTTTTTGTGTCATTCCTTGTCGCAGGGTGTAGGATGGTGTTGTCGGTTGGGGATAACTTCGACAGACCTGATGGATCCACCTCGGTGCCAAGGGTCCGCAATGTCTGCCGGAAAGCCGGCTGCAGAGCTCTAGCATCGCTGCAGACACCAAAAAGGAAACCTGAAAAAACCTCGAAGTCCGCGTGTTGGGGCTTCTTCCTGGCAGTTCGCAAGACGAGAGGATGATCTTGTTCATCAGCTGCCCGACCTGTTCATTGGTTTGTCTGTCTGAAGAAGTACTTGACAGGAGATCTTAGCGATCCTTGGCCCATGTAGTCTGTTTGAGCTCCCTTGGCTGCCGCTGATGGGTTGGGCTCGGGACTCCGGATCAAGCTCTAAGCCCCCCCAAGCCCTAAACCCTAAAGCCCCTAAACCCTAAACCCTAAAGCCCCTAAATCCTAAACCCAAACTTGCTGTCGAAGCCCTGCAGGAGCTTCAGTTTCACGCCGAGCCGGGAATGAGCTTGTCCCGAGCCTCAGGTCTTGGTGGCCCTCAGGATTTCGCGGAGGTCGGCAGTTGAAGGCTTCAGGGTGTGTTGGGCGTTCTTTTTGGGTTTAGGGCTGTGCAGGGTTTAGGGTTTAGGGGTTTAGGGTTTAGTGTTCAGGGTTAGGATTGTTAGATTTTAGTTTGCAGAGCAGTAGAGAACATGCAGGCGCAGGCAGGCGCAGTGCCTGTAGCAGGAGTACCAGTGTGGTAGTAGTTGCATTGCTACTACCGCTGCTGCTACTGCTACTGCTGCTGCTACTGCTACTGCTACTGCTACTACTACGACGACGACTACTACTTCTGCTACTACTACTTGGTTGTGCAGCTCATCGGTTCTTAGAGCAAGTTTCTGGGCTTTGAGGTCAACCCAAATCCGACGCCCCAGGTTGCATCTTGCAGCGCAGTTTGGGAACAACGAAGCACTCCAACTGCTGATCCAGGTGCCCTCGCGGCTGTGCTCGGGGTATGCCGGTTGATGAATTTATGCTGTTCTCTAGGGCTTCGTAGGGCCTAAACCTATGGTTAGGCTCTAAAGCTGGGGTTGCCAAAAAAACCTAACCCAAACCCCAGATTTTTGTGGGATTTGTAAGGATTGGGGCTAAGGGTTCTTGATGCGCTGGGATTGCTCCACAGCCGTTCGTTTCGGATCCTCAACCCTGCATGAGTCCAGGCCAAAGAGAGAAAGAGATAGAGTGAGACACTGGAAGGACCAGGAAGAAAGCACATAAAACACAGTGAAGAAATGAGAGGCAATACCAATCCGCGGAGATCTTGTGAGCCTTGCCAGCTCCTGCAAGTGTGTTAGGGTTTAGCGCTCGAAAACTGCAACGAAGACAGGGCGCCCTAAACCCTAAACTCCTAAACGGTCCTAAACCTAAACCTTACCTTATACCCCATCATCCGTAACGCACCAAGCGCCGATCCCGCATTTGCGCCCATGAAACGCGGCATTTCGGAAGTTGTAAAAGCTTGGAATTGTGTGGAACAAGGGACCTATTCGCTAGTTTCCAAACCAGGAAGGTTCTGCTGCACGCTGCATTGTCTCCATGACTGGCTACGCAGGGATGCTCTGTTCTCAGAACGATTAGACCCATGTATGCTCTGTTCTTGGATCCGATTAGACCACGGACGTCATCATGGTTGGCCCATGCGTGCTTTGTTCTCAGAGTCTCAGAGCGGATTAAATCATGGATGTCATCATGGTTGGGCCACGAGACAGTGGACATCATCATGGTTGGGCCATGGATGCTTTGTTCTCGGAACACATCAGGACGTCATCAAGGTTGGGCCACGGATGATCTGTTCTCCAAACGGATTAGACCATGGACGTCATCATGGCTGGGTCATGGATGCTCTCTTCTCAGAGCGGGTTGGGCCATGAACGTCATGGTTGGGGCATGGGCCATGGATGTTCTGTGCTCAGGAACTAGACCATGGACATCATCATGGCTGGGCTGTGGTTGCGCTGTTCTCAGAACGGAGTGGACCATGGACGTCATCATGGTTGGGCCATGGATGCTCTGTTCTCGGAACGGATTAGGACGTCGAGTGTGAGCGTCGAAGCCCCAAACTCTAGACTTCAAGCCCAAAACCCTAAACCCTTGTGTGAGAGCCGAGACCCTTAAACTCCAAACTCTATAAGCCCCGAACCCTAAACCCGGACTGCTGAATCCGTGTTTGCCTATGCGAGTATGCGTGTCCCGCCGCCCTGACTGAACCCTTCCTCGCAGGAGAAGGCCGAGCTCAATAGCCAGGACCAGCTCCTTGCCGACGCACAGTTTGGGGGTTAGGCGGTTAGGGTTTTGCTGGACCCCAAAAGTATATAAAATAACGGCCGTTTAAGGTTCTTGGGGCATTATTTTACCTACTTTGGGGGGGTTTAGGTTGGTGTTTAGGGTTTTGAAAACGAGGCTTTGTTGCAACAAAAAGGGGGTTTCAAGATTCAGAGGTTTAGGGGTTTAGGGCTGAAGCTTCAGGCCAGTTGCAAAAGGGCTGAAGCTTCGCCGTGAGGCGGACATGAGGGCATGTGCACGGCAGCCCCTCCTCAAAAAAAGGGCTAGGGTTTGGGGCTCAGGGTTATGAAGATTCAGAGGTTTAGGGTTTGGGTTGTTGAGGTTGTAGAACTTTTGACTCAAAGATTCAGAGAGGTTTCCCTGGGTTTGGGGTTTCAGGGTTTCAGGGTTTAGGGTTGAGCAGCGGCTTTTGGGCTTGAGGGTCAGGCATCTGGGAGGTCGAGTCGAGGGCTCTGGGATTTTCGGGGTCGTCTTCGGGATGGACTGGAAAACGGGATACCCATAGGCTCCATAGTAGTTCCTTTTTGGGGTTACCTTATAAGAATCCTAAATAGAAACCCAAAAAAGAACTACCATGGAGCCTATGGGTCCGGGTAGTTGGTTGGGGCGTCGGAATGTAGGGAAATCGAAGCTGGGAAGGCTCCTCCCGAAATGGACCCATGCAGCTTTGGGTTTAGGGTTTTGGGTATAGGGTTTAGGGTTTTGGGTTTCGGGTTTTGGGTTTAGTGTTTTGGGTTTTGGGTGTAGGGTTTAGGGTTTAAGGTATCCAGGAGGTGCCCAAGAACACGTGGATCTCAGCCCCATAAGCCCGAAGTGCGAGGCGTCTTAATATAGGGGTCGGAATCATTGGTAGCAGTATCCCCTCATAGCCACGACTTCACTGTCTAATATCGTCACAAACCCTATTCGAACTATGGAGGCCCCTCTGTTATAGACTCGTTGTGTATCAAAGGAGCCTTATTCTAAGTGCCATGACCGTTTGTTCGACTTCCGCTCTGGGCATCCACGCACGACATCTACTTCGCTTGAGACAACGGTACTTCATTTGGCTCTGGCTCGGTTCGCAGGTAAGCTAAAAGTGGATCCCCTAAACCCTAAACCTCTAAACCCAAGCCTTCATCGCTTCCGGACCCCGACCCAATGCCCTGGACAGGAAAAGCATGCAGCCTAGGGGAGCGGAAGGATGGCCAATGTTGGTTCCTCAGGAGAATAATAAACCCCAGATTCCTCTTGTAAATCATTAAAGGCCCTTAGATCAGACTCGCATGCCCCCAGCTAAACCCTCACGCCTCGACCCCACTGCACGTTTCCAGAAGTGAGGTTGGGAATGTCTCCTCTGCATCGGGCGACTCTCGGGGACAATGCCGTAGGTGTTCAACTTCTTCTCCAGGCGCGGCAGGGTGGGTTTAGGCTTTATAGGGGTGTAGTATAGGGGTCGGAACACTCAGCAATAGAATCACCTCCTAGCCCCTGAATAGAACTCCACCACCCTATACCACACAATCCTCAAGTCACTAAAGGCCCCCACATGAGTTATGTTGCCTCTGGAAGGGGAGCGTGGTAAGAACACCTCCCATCCAGGATGGTGGTAGTTAGGCTTCAGCATGGCTTTGGGGTTGAGGGATTTGATTGTGTTTTCGGGTAGGGTTTAGGGTTTAGGGTTCAAGAGAGGGTTGTTTATGGGTGTTCAGGCTTTATGCTCACGTTCCGAATCCTGTAAAATCGTCATCGGCATCGCCGGCACCACCACCAGGACCGTCATGGTCATGGCCATGCGATCATCATCAGTCTGCTTGCTCGCAAACTCTAACCCTGTCGCGATCATGCTTACGCGACATCTTGCCCTATGCTGGAAAACCAAGAAACCTGAACCATCATGCACCGACATTGCAGAATTGTCCTAGAAATTCGATATCTAAACCCAGACCTCCAGCAGCGCAAGAACCTCTAAAGCTCACCAAACCACCCTAAAAACCCTATGAGCCCCTAAACCCTGCAAGCCCATACACGCTAGGCCCCAGCAAAGCAAGCACAAGCGGGATCGGACTCGACCTGCCCTAAACTCTGAACCCTATATAAGCCCTAAACCCTGTAAACCCTAAGCCCTATAAACCCTACCTCTGTTCTGTACTCAAACCTGCAATGCGGGCTCGTCCTTGCTATGTGGGAGGGAAAAAGCCCTACGCCCTAAACCCCCCAAAAAAACATAGCACAGGCGGGATCGGACCCGGCCTGCCGCGAGAAGATCGCCAAGTTCACGGCCATAGGCCCGGCGGCCGCCTGGGGCTCCCTCCGAGGTGCCCTCCCCGTTCTTTTTTTCAGGGTTTAGGGTTTTAGGGTTTAGGGTTTAGGGTGTTCCGATTAAGGGTGTTGGGGTTAAGGTTTTCGGGATTTACGGGTTTTGTTGCGGGTTTTGGGGGTTTGGGTGTTCAGGGGTTTAGGGTTTAGAGTTTGGTTTAGGGTTCAGGGTTCATGCTTAGGGGGCTTTTCTATTGTGCTACATTTTGTTTTGTTGTAGATATGTTCAAGCGTCTCGGTAATTTCAACCCACAGGATTTTTCGAAGTTCACGGGCTTATAGGGGCTTTCATCAGGGTTTAGGGTTTCGAGCGGCTTGCTGGGCTTCGTGGGGTGTTTACAGGTTCTATATGTCAGGGCGCTACAGGCGCTTTGTACTTGAAGTTAGGGCGGGCTTGTATTGAGGGTTCTACAACAAGTTTCTCCATGGGTTCGGCACAAAGCTTCGAAAAGGGCTCGGCAAGAGGGGGTGGGATGTACAAGTTCGAAATGGGTTCCTACAATAAGGCTTCCTTTGCTATGAGGATCTTATACAGCTTTCTTCATGGGCCTTATGGATTCTGCGATCGCAGGTTTCAAGATGCCCCTGGACCCTGAACTCTAACCCAGCAACTCAGGCGCCACAGGGTTTAGGGTTTAGGGCGAGGGGCCGCATTGTGCACATACCGTTTTAGGTCAAGAGATGGGCCGTTCTTGTAAATTTTTTGTAGCTTCATTTATGCGAGAAGATCCAAGGTACCAGGTACTTATGCTGTAACAAGTACGGGCGTACTGGGCTCTTTGGGTGCAGCAGCAGTTCTATCACCACGTCGCGATGTCACATCTTATGCCCTCGAGGCATCCACGCGATCATGGAGCACAGCCCCTTGCAGGAGTTCCGGTGGTGCCTGTGCCTCGGTGATGCACGGCGTCTGCCTGAGGTTTTCTTACTTTGGGCCAGAAGTTGAAGGCAGACCCAAAGCCCCCGAAGGACCCTAGCCCTACCACCCTAACACCCCAACTCCCCTTACTGCCGAAGCCTCAGGAAGCCCAGACTTCGCGGATTCCGCGAATGAAACCAAATCCCACACCCCTGGATCTCGGGCCTATAGAAACCCTAAACCCTGAGCCCTAAACCCCTAAACCAGGTTCGGTTTAGGGGTTTTGGGTTTTTGGGGATTCGGGAGTCCCACTTGCAAAAAGAGTTAGGCTCGGGGCGTCGGGGTTTTGGGTCTATAGGACTTGGGCCCCGGGATGGTCAGAAGTTAGGGTTTTAAGGTTTGGCGTTTTAGGGTTTTAGGGCTCAGGGTTGAGGGGTTTAGGAGTGGGTTTAGGGGTTTAGGGTTTTAGGGTTTAGGGGTTTAGGGGTTTAGGGTTTTTAGGGGTTTAGGCTCAGAAAATGAGGAACCGGAGACCCTAATCACTGCTCTCCAGTGGTTTTGGAGGTCTGTCGGCTTGAGCCAAAAATGCAGACTTAGTCAACAGCTCTGTGAAAACTCCCAAATTTCTGTTATCAGTCCATATTCTGCAATTTTTGCAGGTGGTATTGAAGCTGTATAGGTATATTTAATGGGTGTCTAGGAGTCTTGTCGGGATGATGCAGACTCCTGGTTGACACGCAAAGCGTGGATAATACTTGAGTCTAGGGTTTCGGGTTGAGATCACATGCTAACCATATAGGGTGGCTTATCGGTCCGAGCCTCCATCTTGTCAAAGAGCCCATATGGGTAGTTCTCTAAATTAGGGTCCTTTAGCTCCCAGAACTCGTACGGCAACCTTATTCAAAGGACCCTGAAAGGTACCCTAACCTAGAGGACTACCCATATAGAAACGCGTAGGCCCTTCCTGTGTGTACTCTAAGCCATCCTACTGAAGCGTCCCTGGTCGAAGGCACGTGGCAGTCCTTGGCGAAGGATCATCCGTAGGACTGGCCCGGGTTAGGGGTGTTGAGTTCTGGGGCATTATTGTTTATTATTGTTACTGTTGTTATTTTTATCGTTATTATATTATGACTATTGTTATTATTACTTTCAGGGCCAAGCGTTCCAACGGAAACATGCCTGAAGCCCGAAGCCCCGCATCCTTCCGAGCTTCCGAGACCGCTTTTCTCCCCAAACCCAGAGATCCAGGCGCCTCCAAAGAAAACAGCGGAACACGGGTGAAGCCTACCTAAACCCCCAAAAGAAGGCAAAATAACTGCCCAAGACCCTTGAAAGGCTGTTATTTTACATACTTGAGGGGTCCAGGTAAGGGCTAAGGGCTAGGGGTGTCATAAGTCGGGGGTACCTTGGATCCTGCCCCTTATGGCTCAGATGAATGTAGGGTAGGTTTGCACTGGGGTAGGTCGGGCTAATGGCCAGCGCACACCGCGAACCCTAAACTCCGACTGACAGCTATATGCACTTGCGTGTGCCAGTGCGCGTGCCCGGGCCACTGGTTGTTTGCTTCAGGAACGACTGCTGTGGTGCAGGCCACCGCACCGACAGCCATCAAAGCACCCGCCCGCCCGCCCGCGCCTGTTATGATCACAGGTGCGATAATGAGCGAGTATTCGGGCCAGATGGCCCGCTGTGGCGACTATGGTTGGGACGCCCGATGGTGGATACCAGGGGCTAGATTGCCTAAGACTTCGGTCGAGAGCTCATCACATATCTTGCAAGCCAGACACCATATTTCTGCACATGCATGCTGTCAGTCGGCTGATTAGGGTTACTCCTGCTCAATGAATCCCTGTCCACATAACTCACAAGGACTACAACAGGGATTTTTATCTTACTCTTAGGGGTGTGGGAGAAGGGCCTTTATCAACCAGGAGTCTACATTACACTGTAGGGTCGCCTTTGTTCTGCCTCAACCCCAGCACGTGTTTTTTCATAAGTCCGCCCTTCGCCACACGGAACTCCAAACTCCATAAACTTTCGCGATCACATTAAACCCTTCACCCCCTGACAGAAATGGTGACGACCCTGATTGCAGCGGGAGCGGCTTTGGACGAAACGCTGGATCTCAGTCTGCCGAGTCTTGCCGGCCCAAAACCTGCCGAGTCTTCCGGCCCAAGACGATGGAAGCCGGGTCCCCAGGGTTTAGTTTAGGGTTTAGGGCAGCATGCGGGCCTTGAGACGTAGAGTAGGGTTCCTCTATAAGGGCTCCGTTTAAGGAGTTTGCAGGGTTGGTAATTATAAGGGTTCTGTCATGTGGGCAATACTAAACTAGACTAGGGTTTCGGGTGACTCTATAGTATAACTAAAAGGGGCTGTATGGGTATACTGCTGCAAATTTCAATTCACTCCAAGGCCAGCTTTTGCGTTTGAACGTTTTACTTGCTGTTTGTTTGAGTATGGACATGTTCGGTGTTCTTGTTAAGGATTGTACAAATTTATCGTAAGTTACCATAATAGGGGTCCATAGTAAACTACATTGTGGCCTGGTCATAGTACCTTAAACTAAACTCCTTAACAAGCGCCCGGTCGTGTCAGGGACTCCAGATCGAGCTGGGCCGTAGGAAGCCTCATTAACTTATCAACGTCCTCTCAAAAAGAGATGCAAGATTCGCCTTCGAAGCCCTGTATTAGTTGCCAATCGTGTCCTCTTATACGCTTGTTTCGGGTATCACCGAAACACAACTGAAACTCCTTTCGTTGATTTGGTTCCACATGCGCACAACATTTGTTAGGATTTATTTGTAGCCTCGCACACATTACGAGATAGTAAGGTGTGACTACCTAGAACCCTTAACCACAGCTTGTTGCATCCACAGGGCGCGGTTCGGGGCTTGAGGTTTAAGGGCTACTCATGACATGGAAGGTTCTTCCAGGCCGTCCTCAAGCAAGCATATGGCCCTTCAATGAGCTTCATGATGGCGAATGCTGTGGGTGCTACGCCGCCACTTGGTGTAAAACGCCTCACGAACCCCAAGACCAGCATGCTCTTATTCAAAGGACCTAATGCGGGTTCAAAGGTCCTACTTTGCAGTTCTACGTTACTTGAAACCATGAGTCCTACACCTTGTAACACCCTGAAAAGCAGGGCTTAGAGCTTAGGGTTCTTTGTAGGTTGCTGTTGCTTCAGACGTTGCACCCGTTGTCCGAAACCCTAACCACACTGACGCATATCTGCCGGTTCTATTTTAGGGCCTCGAGGACTGCAGGGTTCGGGGTTCGGAATTTGGGAAAAGGTGTGTGGGGTTTAGAGTGTAAGGTTCGAGACATGGGTGTTAATGAGCTTCGAGTCAGGGTTAAACCTTCAGGCGTTTAAATTTCGGTTGATGGGAAGTTTGTCCACGATTCGTTGACCATGTTGTGTTGACGCGTGCAAGGCAGCCGGTTTCCGGGCTCCTAAGTTTCAGAATGTGGTTGAGATGTCAGACTGCGTAGCTTCAGTTGGGAAGCAGTAGCCTTGCTTCTGCTGGCATGAAGCCCTAAGCGCAGATGCCTCTGGTGAGGTTGAGCTTCTAAGCATCTCTAAGCCATATCCTACAACCCTAAAGCCACAAGCCTGCCACTGCCACCGCCGAACTCTCTGAACCCACAGCAGAAGCGCTCGCCAAAACCTAGACCCGCTGACCCTCTGGCCGACACAGATTCACACAGCAGACGAACCGGAAACGGCAAGCATAACAACCCTCGACCACCAGGCTTTAAGCCCAGCAGTATTCAGGTGTAGGTGTAATGAATAGCCATAGGCCCATTGTAGTTCCTTTTGGGGGTCACCTTTTAGGATCCTAAATATGAACCACAAAAGGGAACCATAGAGGAGCCTATAGGGAAGGTCCAAAAACCGAGAACGCCCTTGCACCCCACTCTGCTTTCCAAACCAGCCCTTTGCTTGCTTTAAGTTCCAATACGGAATGTAGAGGTACGTGCATAGTTAGCGTATAATGTACATATATATATATACACATACAGCAGATATATATATATATATTTGTATATATATATATATGAGCAGATATATCTGTATGTTGCTTACATGTATTCATTTCTTTACACATTTGTTCAGTTGTTCATGTTTTCTCCTGAAGATCCCATAAGGGATGTATAAGTGCAACCATGAGACCTCCGTGTGGACTGCCGGCACTGAGCCCCCGGTGCCCTGTTTTTCTAAACCCTAAACCCGAAAAAGCCCT